TCGACTCTGATTAGTCCAGGCTTAAAAGCGATGAGAAAAGTAACAGGTACCATGTGAACAAAACCGCTCTGCGTGTTACTTTAACAGCGGTGGATATAATAATTTATACCTGACTAAGAGTACTCAAAAACTTCAAAACACGTTTAACTGAAAATACACAGTGAAAGTCTAAAATATAATAATTATTGTGTAGCCACATCGTACCTGGCAAATTATAAGCAGCCTCCCGGCCGCGATCCCCGCCCATTTTATTATAAGTTTCATAGTAATTTCCTTTCTATTAGTTTAACGCATTTCTACGCCCCCTCCTCAAGACAGCGAGCCAACTTTAAGGGACTGCGCATGTCCTGGGGACCTGTTTCCAACTCTGGCACAGAGCTAGGGTGCATATAATAATTGGGTGAATTAATTTATAACTAAATTCTGTTTTATATATTTTAAAGTTTAATTATACATTTTTTCCTGCAGTTGAACAGTTCTACCTTGTTTTGTGGGTTTAATGTTATATGTGTAATATATAACAAATGCTCAATAAAACAGCAGTGACATAAAAGGTCATGGGAAAATATTTGTGTGTAAACAATATATAACCAAATATCTTGGTCTACTGGTTCATATAATAAAACTCTCTCAAACTAAACTTCACAGTGACTTTAGTAAACAGGGGAGCAGGGTAGTTAATTACGTATTTTTCTCTTTGTCTTAAAGGGGTCATATGATGTGATTTCAAGTTTTCCTTTCTCTTCGGAGTGTTACAAGCTCTTGGTGCATAAAGAAGATCTGTAAAGTTGCAAAGACTGAAGTCTCAAATCCAAAGAGATATTCTTCATAAATGTTAAGAGTTAACCACGCCTACCTAAAACGGCTCGTTCTAACACGCCCCCACATGTCTACCTCACTATGTGCGGAGATTTGCATAACACCGCCCGAATGTTCACGCAAAGAAAGAAGGCGTAACTTTTATTCTCGCTGTAGTTTTGTTGTTGCCGCCGCCGCCATGTCATGAAGGCGCTGTGTTTCGTTGTGAAAGCAAACTACTTTGTTTGGCCTTCCAAAAGAGGACGATATCTGCTTCGTCATGCCTGGAGCTGATCTGTGCTGGTCGCTGAGGAAATACATCAACTTCGTGCTGTGGATCGCCGGATCGGCTTTCACTGAGGACGAAGCGGAGTCCAGCCCGAGGTCGTCACATGCGGTTGTTGCAAGCCCGCCGGCCGCCGCTCACTCAAGCTGGCCTCTGCTCACTCTAGGCCGCCGTCGCTCACTCAAGGCCGCGGTGTGTGACGCTGTTTCGTTGTGAAAGCGAAACTACTTTGTTTGGTCTTCCAAAAGAAGACACGACTAGAAATCAGTGGTTAAGTTGTATTTACAACACTGTTCCAGAACACTTCAACCCAAATATTCAGATGTGTGCTGCGCATTTTATGGAGGACTGTTTCCTGATCCTGGGAGAGTCTAAAATGAAATTACTGTATCAAAATATATTTCACAGGCTTATGTAAATAATTATTCATTATGGAACACATTTGCCTTGAGAAAAGATTCTGAAAACTATTTTAGATTAATATGTTTTTATTCAAATATAATGCACACTGATAACAACAACATGCCACAGTGTTAAAAAGTAATAAAATGAAATGTAGACAGCAATGCTTTACCTCTCTGAACTGAGATGAGGGACTTTTGAATAATCTGTCAGGAATGAAACAAAATTACAGTTCTCTAAACACACAAACACAGTCTTTTGAAATGAACTATAATGCATCATGTAGAGGGAAATCCCTTTGCTTTGACAGTGTCAGGCACGTCACTATGTCAATATTTAACGCCTTTAATCATACTGGATTATCTGTGAATGTGAGATTTTCCTCTGCATCATTAAATCCAACTCATATTAACATGTCTCACGGCGCTCTGGCACACTCTCTATACTGCATACTGGAATAACTGAATGACTACCGGCAATAGAGAGCAGTCTGTGGCACATTAGCTATTAAAACAGCTGCTTTCAAGTTAACTAAAATATTTTTGGTATATTTGAAATCACAAGCACAATAACATCTCATATAAAAGAAAGAATACAAATAGACTCTTTAAAAAAATCATCATCTTAATTTTGAAATTACGCACAAGTTGGGTTTTTCAATGTAAACAAGAACCACAAAAAGTAACTCCAGATACAGTTTCAGAAAACAACATAATGGATATAATGATGTTTTCGGCCTAATTACAGTCTACATGTGTGGACTGGAAACATTCAGTCCAAACGTTCATCTGATTGGAGCGCAACTGACTGTCTGTATCATAACCTTAGTGCTTCAATTCATCTACCATTATCATATAATACTAACTCAGAATGTAACTCAGTATGAATGCAAACCACTGTTATGATCTGTTTCACTACACAGCATTTAATTCAACTTCCACCTTAACCTTGGGACGGTCTCTCTAAGCGCTGGCGGAGTGATGTGCAATGAGACGCGCTCCTTGAGTTGTGTGGTCTTGGTCCATCTTTGATCTTGATGCTAGTGCCTCCTCTTCAAGCTGTCATGAAATAAAATCACATTGATTAAAAGAGGCCATATTATAACTTTTTAAATCACTGATCACTTCTAATGACAGATTTACAAGACATTTTTCCACTCTCTGACCCTTAGAATTACATTGGCTGTGTTTTAAACTGATAAATGTATACTCTGAATGCAATGCAAGTTGTTTTGGATAAATGCTTTATTCTGCCTTAAAGGAATAGTTCACCCTAAAATGAACAAAACATCCAAAATTGCATGTAAGATGTAGATGAGTTTGTTTCTTCATGGGAACAAATTTGGAGAAGTTTTGCATTCCATCACTTACTCACCAGTGGGTCCTCTGCAGTGAATGGATACCGTCAGAAGAAAGTCCAAACAGCTGATAAAAACATCACAATAATCCACACCACTCCAGTCCATCAGTCTGACAGCATCCATTCACTGCAGAGGACCCACTGGTGAGCAAGTGATGGAATGCAAAACTTCTCCAAATTTGTTCCCATGAAGAAACAAACTCATCTATACCTTGGATTGTCTGAGGTAGGGCTGCACGATAAATCGAAATGGAATCGAGATCGCGATTCGACAGAAGCTGCGATTGTCATGCGTATCTTTCAGTGAAGCACGGTTCTGTGATCATCAGTAAATCTCCATCCAAAGGCCAGAGGGTGCTCTCGCGCTGAAACTCCAAATACGCCTCGCAGAAGAAACCCAGAAAATGCCTATCGCTGCAGCTGAATAAACAGAAGATTCAACTGCTTTCATTGATTCAACGTGACTAATAAACATACAACTACGGCAATATACAGTTTATCTGAGTTCATTTTCATTAAAATAAAGTATATTTATAATGCAATGCCTTTATCACTGACTATGGTTTTAAACAGCAGGTTCATTCAGTTGAGCTGTCTGCATGAATATTGAGAGATGTACCTGCTCTCTGATGTAGGTTTGAGCACAGGGTCCGATGCCTCTTAACTGGAGACCCACAATAAAGCACCACACAGACAGTCCAGCCTCAAGTGCTGTGAATACAGCACAGGTGAACCACAGAGCAAGAGTTGTGTCCTGGAGGAGAAAAAGCAGTTCAGTCTTCACATACCAAATTAAAGTTCAAACTTGTTCATTTATATCTTATTTCAAAAACACCACATGCATTTCAATAGACTGACTCACATAGATGCGGGTGGCATCGAAAGGACAGTTGACGATGACCGGAGATCGTGCATTCACAGGCATGTTAGTGGAATTACATCCTTTCATGAGCGTGCTCCCGTCGGCTGAAATGGTCATACTGATCGCCAAAATCAGCCCCACTAAACACGCCAGCGAGAGAAAGGCGTTCAGAAAGGAACTCACTAACAGACCGATGTGCTACAGGAAGCAGAAGAAAAGAGCTGTGTTGAACACTACAGGGAAAGCACGTGGTATTTTATGGTATTTTAGCATTGGTATACAGAACAATAATGTTGATAAGCTAGTGTGACTATACGTCCTCTTTTTTCCCAGACATGCCTAAATGATCTAAAATGTCCAGGTTTTGGCTTTGTTTTCATACTCATCTCAAAAAGAGAACATATATTCACCCTAGATAAGGTCTACTTACCAGCTTCAAGTTGGTAATATTCCTTGACACCAATATTGCAACAATTCCACTTGCAATGCTCTGAGAAAAACATGTTAACATGATTAGGTTTGAGATTTTTCTTATTCTGTGGGAAAATGTAGAAATGTTAAAACTACTCAGGAACCTCAACAAGTTCAGTGTGTTAAATATGTGTGAAAATAGTTTCCCCCCCCCAAAAAAAAGAACATTTGCTGAACATGTATTCCCCTCAGGCCATTCAAAATGTATATGAGTTTGTTTCTTCATCAGAATAGATTTGGAGAAATTTAGATCCTCTGCAGTGAATGGGTCCCGTCTGAACGAGAGTCCAAAAACAGCTGATAAAAACATCACAATAATCCACACGACTCCAGTCCATCAATTAATGTCTTGTGAAGCAAAAAGCTGCATATTGGTAATAAACAAATACTGCGGTTACTGAAACCACGCCTTCTTTCTTTGCGTGCACATTTGGGCGCATTATGCAAATATTTCCACATAGTGAGGTAGATATGAACGAGCCGTTTTAGGGGGGCGCAGCAGAGTCTTAACTTTGATAAAGAATATCTCTTTGGTTTTGGGACTTTAGTCTTTGCAACTTCAGGGATCTTATCTATGCACAATCAGCTTGTAACACTCCAAAGAGAAAGGAAAACTTGAAATCGCATCACAATCACACCCCTTTAAGACATTTTTTACTTTAAACAAGTCCTCCATCCACATTATTGCTTTCTCCAGTGAAAAAGATGATCTCATCTGAATCAGGAGAAAAATATGCACAGATCAAGCAAAGCGAAAACAGTTCTAAACAAATAGGTTAGTGGATTTTCATGCGAGTGGACAACACGGGATGGACTTTTTCACTGGAGGAAGCATTATTACGGATTATGTATTATGGACTCATATTTTGGCAAGAAGCAACGGTTTGAAGTTAAAACGCCTTAATGATGGATTTGTTTCTTACAAACACAAAGATGGTAATTGATGGACTCGAATCATGTGGATTACTGTGAATTATTGTGATGTTTTTATCAGATGTTTGGACTCTCAATCTGACGGCACCCATTCACTGCAGAGGATTCATTGGTGAGCATGTGATGTAATGCTACATCTCTCCAAATCTGTTCTGATGAAGAATCTACATCTTGGATGACCTAAGGGTGAGTAAAATTTGCGCAGATTTTCAATTTTGTCTGAAATATTCCTTAAGTCAATATGCAGACCGTACTCGGGTGAACTGGGTGATGCAGCATACCCAAAGTAGTAGCAAATTCTTTGATTTACATTTACAGACATGTGCCCAGGCCTTCTCTGAGTGAATATTCTCGAGATTCAGAAAGCATCACTTACTGGAGATCAGGCCTACATGCAGGAGTTGAATCAGCATCATTTAGGAGCCACAGAAGTGCAACCACTCACCAGCAGTCCTGAGGAGACGGAGATGATGTTTGATACGGTATATTCTGTTGAGATCTCATTGCTGGGTTTGGATACATGGCGTAACACGCTGCCATGGACAATGGCACTCAGGATGAAATTAACATGACCGATGACAATGAGTGTCAATCCTTTCTTCATCAGCAGCCCAGGGCCCTTCTGCTTGTCTAGAACATAGCACACTTTCATACAGTGGATTTAAAAGTCCATCTTTGCTCAGAACAAACTAAACGTTTAATAAGCAGTTTTGCTATGAACTCCAGTGGATTTTATTTATCTTGAAATGTATTTGACAAACATTTTAAGTGTTGCCTCAATAAAAAAAATTACTTGTAATACATATCAACTGATTTATATAGTTTATAACACTTATAGTATAACTGTGACGCAAATACCATTTTCCTACCAATCTGCTTTAGCAGGATTTAGTGCAAAATATTGTTCCTAAAGGTTTATTCAGCTGCTAAATATTCTTTTCTACAGTGAATAGAAATGAGGAAAATGTAAACATTACAACAGACGCGCACTTCACGAGAACACATAACTGATTGTCGGAGGCTGCTGTTAAACTATAAATCACGTATAATTCTCGCACCTGCAATAAAAAGAAATAAATGACCGTCTTACCGAAATCACACATATCTGTATCCGTGAATTTGAGCCCAGTTTAGAAGGAAAAAACTACAAAACGCAGTTTCCGCCCTTCATGCTCGATGACGTCACGCACGACTCACCTGTGCAGCGGAAGTGGGAGGAGCCAGAATGCAAAGGTCATTCAGTGCGACTACGGAAGAGCTCCAATCTCTCTCTCATTTTCTTAAAAAGTGAAACGAAAATGTGATAATCTGGGGGAAAAAAGATAAAGCCTAACGCAGTACACGTAGCAAAACAGAGCAAAACGTAGCTAAAAATATATACACACACACTCAACCTATGTTACTGTCACATATTATTGGCCTATATTTAGTAGCCACAGATTTTCTCTTTAATTCTCTGTAACTTTTAATTTAATTTAATTTTGCAAGTTGCAAAATAATGTTGCTGAATTATTGCATGATATATGCATCTGATAAAGTTTCATTTGTTTTGCAATAGTTCATATATGATACTATATAAAAATGTATGCCTTATGTTTACCTTTTTTTTTCATTGCATTGCATACTGCCATTGTGTTGGTCAAACAGGCATCTGGGAATACTCTAGCTTTCCATTGTGTTCACAAGGATTTTACCAGACGGCGATGCACCTCACATGACCAATGCTCTATCCAAGAATAGATTTAGTTTCATGACATTCACTGTAGCCCTAAAACACTGTCTGCTCATGTGAACTATTCAAACTATGAGAGCGTTGATCTACTGAGACGCATAGAACAATGCCAGTGTCCAAAGTCCTGTCATATCTGAACACCACATCCCACAATATCAGCACTAAGCAAATACTGGAGTGAAAGCAAGCAAGGACAAAACACAGGCATATCAGGTAAACAAGATCATATCTGAATATTGAAAACAGAACAGGCTAAATTTACAGGACACACACAAAACATGAACATTTTATTGCCATATTATATCAGAATGTTAAATAGTCAAACAATTTACTTAGGAAATAATTTACTAAACTATACTTATTTAAAAATAACTTTTTAATAGCATAATTTAACTTTAAAATAATTAGATTTTTTAAAAATGTTATTTAATAACAGTGAATAACATAGCATTTTAATGATGTAGCCGTAAATAACAAATATTAAAATTAATAAATGGCAATGACCCCAATAAGCCAATTGTCACATGCCGTGAATGTCAATATATAATGACACTACAGGGATACATGTCTTAGGTTATAAATGATTTATAAATAATTATTATTATAAATAAAATAAGTGCCTTAAGTGTTTTGGGGTGGGTTTATTTTTGGTAAAGACAGACAGAAACTAGCCTTAACACACACACACACACACACACATAAATAAATAAATAAAATATATTATCATAAACATAAATATATTATATCATAAATATATATATATATATATATTGTCATCTTGAAACCCCCGAAAAATGCTTAAGCATGATTTGTTTTTTTATTTTAATGTTCTCATTTAAAAATTTTTTGTAAAAGACTAGTTTCTCTCTTATTATTATTTTACCAAAAGTATGCATATAAATGTGATTGAACATTATCGTGCATTAAAAAAACCTATAAACCCAGATCCACAGCGACCCCTTGTGGCCTCCAGACGCATGCGGGGGTTATCTGAAGGTCATTACATACTGCAAATCCTGTCAGACCTTCATAAATGTGTGTGTGAAGCGACACAAACACACAAGCACAGTATAGAAAGTCAGAATGGTATTTTTTATTTGAACTGTACTGTATGCTAAATGTTCACCTCGGTACAATAAACAAATACAAATACTCACACTAAAAACCAAACCTACAGTTCCAGAACCAACCTGACTGGAGTTGGCCGAGGACCTCAGAATATTGCATATAAACAACACAATGAGCTCCGAACAGTGCGCTTCCACATAAAGAACCCAAAATGAAAAGGAACAGGGAGAGGATCACAGGAAAGTATGGTTACAAAAACATTAAACTAGACGATACAAATCTAATTTAACTGCCATACATTCAACACCAAAAACGCACTGGATGTCAGATCTATAAAAAATACCTCGGGTAGGCTGACGGGAAGGAGCGAGTATTTAGACGGGGCTGTCGTGTGTTTTGGAGTAACCGGTAAATGTTCTTCCTGAGACAGGGGCGGTTTTTCACTCCAGTCCCTTTTTCTGTGTGAGCTGCCATCTATTTTATTTTTATTTTTTTTAAAGCAAACACAAAATCAAAATGATGTCCCTCACGGTGACGTTCACTCAAATCCAAATTGAAGATCTTAAAACCTAACGCAGTTTGTATTTTAAATCCTGCAAACTCATTTTGAACCGAAATGAATGGATATATCAGTAAAATAGTGTGCTCTTGGGTCTTGAAGAGGACTTGTTTCTGAGCTGGTGCTTGTTGAATTTGTGCAATTCTGTAAACAAGAGGTCAGCTATGCAAATTGTTGGATAAAAGCTAATAATTCATCTTAATTTTTGCCTAAGACCAGCCTTTACCTCTCTGTTCTCTTAATAGATACACTGTATATATATATATATATATATATATATATATTTTCATTATCAAGCACTTTTAACATTCAAACAAAGACAAGCTCTAATTCTGTGGATGTAAAGAAAGTTATGAGTTTTGTTTAGGGGCCCAAATAAGGCGAAGAGGAAGAAGACAAGTGCATGGCATCTGATAACCGTCAACGTTTCGAACTCTGTATGTGGTGCACAAGAAAAGAGGTGTGGCCATTATGTCATGCCACGCCCCCGACAAAGAAAGCACCGCCCACCTGTTTCAAAAACAGGTGGAAATTATGTCCTCCCCTCACAAGAACAACAGAAACGATGGAAATGAATGGAAAAACACTGAAACTGAAAACAAGACGGTGGAGAGACGTCCGTGAAGCATGTCTCCGGTGCAGCTAGCGGCAGCTGATTGCTTGTTCACCCGTTCACTGTCTCTTAGTCTCTTTGATTTGCAGTTTTGCTGAATGACTGTCGGTCAGTGGTCAGGTGGTTATGACTTGGCGAGGTGTTGTCTATGGTCGTTGTGTTTGAGGAGCTGGGTGGGGGACGGGGCGAGGCTGGGCTGGGTGCCCGGTGGCAGGGGATGGGCCCCGGGCATCCCGCCGGGCATCATGCCCTCTATCTGTCCACCCATGCCACCAGGAGACACACCCACCGCACCAGGAGGAAACCTGAGAAAATACAGAGGAAATAATGAGAGGTATAATGAGGTCGTCAGCTTTATGCTCCGCCCTTTACCACATGATTACAGACTCAAAAGCTTCATTCATAAACTCTCGCAAAAGTTTGGGCACATTTGATTGAAATGTTTCTCAGGTTTCTTTAAAAAAATCCTTTGATCTCAAGACTTCAGCTTTAATGCTTAAAACTTAATTTTGCAGACTTTTATAATGTTATAAAAGATTTCTAATAAAAAAAATGTTTTAACTGTCATGTCATCAAATCATCTTTGAAAAAATGCATCACTGCTTCTACAAAATTACTATATTAAGCAGCACAACTGTTTTCAACAATGATAACAATAAATGTTTCTTGAGCAGCAAATCTGTATATTAGAATGATTTCCGAAGGATCATGTGACACTGAAGACTGGAGTAATGATGCTGAAAATTCAACTTTGATCACAGGAAAAAAATACATTTTAAAATAGATTCAAATAGAAAACAGTTATTTTAAATTGTAATAATATTTCACAATATTACCGTTTTTCCTGTATTTTTATCAGAAGAGACTTAAATGTATCCATTTTATTTATCTTAAATGACTAAAATCAAATAATTATTCATTTAATAGTTTAAAAAACATCAAAAGGTGAATATACTGTCATATTTGAATTGTAAGTTAAAAATTGACAAGAAATCAATATCAATGTAAAAAGTGATTACTTCTACAAAAATTTGACATTTCTAAAAATTAATGGATCACTTATACTCATTACGTTCACATTATCATCATGTATTTCTTTATTGATTGATTTACTGAATTCTCAAATAATTGTTCTCAATTTCTCAAAAAAAATAAAAGTGGCAGTCTAATTTAGCACAACAAATGCAAACACAACACAGCTAAAAACACGAGGTAACAAATATTACGTATAATTTAAATAACGGTAGAACTAATGAGAAACCAATTAGCAGGCATCACATGATATTTGCATGTTCTATGGGAATGAGCAATGTTAAAATAAAAGATGAGGATATCGTTTTATATTGTTCATTACGTGTTTTTAGATCTGTTTGGACGGTGTCTTGAGCTCTGTGTCTCAGCACGCTGTAAGTAGTTACCTGTCATTGTTTAGGTATACATTTTGTCTTGCAGGCCGCCAGGAGAAACGGCTGGAAGCGGCTGGGCCACTCTGCTGAGCGAGAGAAGCAATCAGACTGAGCAACACAATCGGGCTGGTTTGTGTGTGTGTGTGTGTGTGTGTGTGTGTGTGTTGGAGAGTTAAATGCATAAAAAAATGTTAGTGTTAGTTCAGGGAAATGTTCAGAAGGGTCATAGCGGGTAAATCTAGAGGTGATTCTGTCGAAGTTAATTTATGTGTGCCACAGGGACAGACGGCGGTCTTGTTTGAGTCTATTTGCCGGATTATTGGGCCGTTTGTGTGTAATGTACCTGCTTGATGGTGAAGTCGTTGATGAGGTGGTGATTGTGTTCGTTTAGGTTGCAGTGGAGAGACACACAGTCGCTCTGGTACAGGAGGTCCTGTAAGGTGTAAACTCTCTGGACGCCCAGCGATCGCTCTAAACCGTCTTGCAGGTACGGGTCATAAAAGATCACACTGAAGCCAAACGCTTTTGCTCGAACAGCCACAGCCTGTCCCGATCGGCCTATGAGACAAATATACATAAACATGTAAACACACAAACCCATCCAGCAGAAATGACTTTAGGATTGCATATATAACGTATATGGACAACTATGGTGCTTTTTTGTCCTTTTTGGAACTTGGAAACCTCCACTGTCACGGACTGAAATTTGACATGAGTGACCTGATTAGATGATGAAATCATTAATCATCTTCATGTCTACAGGTCAAAATTGAACACTTAATTGAATTTTTCTTAAATGCTTGAAATCAGTCTTATAGACAGCGATAAATTGTGCCTATATATAACTATCAACATATGTGACCCTGGAGCACAAAACCAGTCTTAAGTTGCACGGGGATATTTGTAGAAATAGCCAAAAATACATTGTATGGGTCAAAATTATAGATTTTTCTTTTATGCCAAAAATCATTAGGATATTAAGTAAAGATCATGTACCATGAAGATATTTAGTAAATTTCCTACTGTAAATATATCACAACTTAATTTTTGATTAGTACTATGCATGGTCTCAGATGGTCTATAAACACTGATAGTCAAGTAACCCCAGATCCCAGCTTCTCTCCATTCATGGATTTGACCTGTATTGAGCTGTATCTGTAATATTTCTCTTTTTATTCTAACCATATAAACTGTCTGTCCCAGAGGTACAATTAGCTCTCTCCTGTACCTCCTTCTGTCTTGGTTTTCAAACTTTCAAACATCCAACTTTTCTTCACTACATGCAGAGTGCTTTGTATTTCTGAACAAAGATTAAACCGGGTTTCTCAGCTAAGCAGTATTTGATTTCAGTAGCATGTTTTCATTCAACATTTTATTTGCTAAGGCTTTTCACAATATCATCTACCATTCAGGTTTCTCACTGGCATTAATTAGGTGTATTTTATTGTCCAGAAAGCTGCTAAAACAACATTGTACCTGATTTCTAGACAAGATTTTTTTTTATGTATAATGCATTGTGTCATGCATTATATCAGTATTCATATGTTGAAATGCATTATATTGTTTCATAAATAATAAAGTTAAAATGCATTATAATATTTGCAGATTCCTTGCTATATCTGCACCTGGTTGTTTGTCATGCGTTTTAATGCATTACATACATGTAACAATGATCAGATAAGTATTATAATGTATTAGAACTGTGGTTACAATCATAATGTGGTTGAATCATAATGTGCATTACAAGGCACAATTAATGTGTTAAAAATACTTCCATAATGCATTATACATAAATGCTTCAAATAAAGTGTTACTGGTTTTTATTATTATTATTATTGTTGTTGTTGTTATGCAAACTACCAAAACATTTCTTTGCATTATAATATTTGCTAATTCCTTGTTAAATGTGCAGCTGGTCATGTGTCTGAATGCGATATACTTTCTAAAGGTGTAACAATGAATAGATAAGTATTATAATGTTATGTAATGCTTATTAGTTAGATATTCTGTAGAATGTTGGTAACCAAACAGTTGACGGTAGCCATTGGCTTCCATGTTTCAGAATATTCTTCAGAATATCTTATTTTTGGCTCAACAGAAGAAAAACTCATACAGGTTTGGAACAACTTGAGGGTTAATGATGACAGAATTTTTATTTTTGGGTGAACTATCCCTTTAAGACCAAAAATTGTGACCAGGAAACACTTCTTACCCATCTCTCCAGCTGCTTTAATGTCGATATTGTCATATCCACTACCGATGCGGATTATGATTCGGAGGGCTTTAAATTTCTCCAGATCTTCTCTGGTCAGAGTGATGGTGTGGTACATCATCGCCCCCACCGCCTCGTTCAACACCTGCCACAGACACATTTATACCACACTATAAAAATCAGAGAATAAAGCCGTGGGGTGTTTATTAAGGACACATAAATAATTTCTTAGTAGCATCCTGGGAGGAGTATGTGAGTGTAATGCATTTCTTATGATGAGTTTGCCATGTTCATCTACATGTCATTTCAAGCATTTACTCCAGATAATTGTTTGTTTTGTAATCTGTGCAATTACACACATTACAAACACGTAATTCTGAATCCGACTGCAATAAAAGATATGATTAAACTTAACAGGCAATTTTCCCTTGTGATGAAACAGGAGTAATTTCGGGGAAGTCGTGGCCTAATGGTTAGAGAGTCGGACTTGTAACCCAAAGGTTGCGGGTTCGAGTCTCATACCGGCAGGGATTGTAGGTGGGGGGGAGTGAATGTACAGCGCTCTCTCCCACCTTCAATACCACAACTGAGGTGCCCTTGAGCAAGGCACCGAACCCCCAACTGCTCCCCGGGCGCCGCAGCATAAATGGCTGCTCACTGCTCCGGGTGTATGTTCACTGCTGTGTGCGTGCACTTTGGATGGGATAAATGCAGAGCACTAATTCAGAGTATGGATCACCATACTTGGCCACATGTAACGTCACTTAATTTAACTCAATGCAATGAGATTCTACACTAAATTTACACAGTATTTAATGTACCAAATTTCAATGTTCTTTTAATTAACATACCATTTATTACAACAAAATCTTTGTCATATAAACATCCAGTCAGTAAGTCAGTAACAGATTCACATAGCTGGTGCATTAGTGAGTCTTTTAGATCGATTATTTAATAGAACTGGTTCATAGGAGTTTTTGTGAATCAGACAACAGTGGTCATGCTATTTGTTGCTGCATGCTTGGTTGTTATTTATTTACGGTGTGATTTAAACTTAAGTAGAAAAACAGCATTGAAGCTGATAAGATAGAAAAATCTGTTCAATTATATTTACATATCTATATAAATATCTATATAAATATTATGTCAATATAAAATATATTCCTGATAGGAAAAATGTTTTAAATATGGATATATATTTTGAATATTGGCAAAAGGCTTAAAAGAATTAATCCAATAATATATATACACAACTATACAAATATATTATATTATACAAATATAAATGTACCCAGTATTGGGGCATTTAATCGTTTGGGGAAAATGTTTAACATATTGAGATATATTTTAAATATTGGGTAAATGCTGAAATAAATAAATAAGTAAATAAACAAACAAAGAAACAACAAGATAGTCAAATATATATATATATATATATATATATATATTTATTTATTATTTTTTTTTTTTTTTTTTTTTCTCCCAGTTCCAGTATTGGAGTATTCAACTAAAAAAATTAGAATCCAAATTCAATTCAAAAAAGTTGCTGATTCAATTAATACTGCAAACTTACAACTCAACTAAAACAATATGTTTGCTGTCGTGCTAGTGATGCAAGAAAAATAGTTCAAGCAGACCTTCTCATGTATTTCCTGTGTTGACTGAGCGTCACAGAACGCCACAGTGGCTAAATCCTTCAGGATGGGCATCTCTACGGTACAGTCCCTCCCGTCCAGCAGAGCGACCAGCGGCCGAGGATGCATCGGACCGTTCATGATTTGTGGCCTTATACCTGCAAAGAGAGAGAGAGAGAGAGCGAGAGAGTGAGAGAGAGAGCGAGAGAGAGAGAAACGTGAACTTCCCGTTCGCCCCCTGCCATGCGTCTTGTTGTCATGGCGATTACAGCATTTGGGCAGAGTTATGAATACATTTGATTCAATAGCCTTTGGGGAAACATCTTGCTCTCTGCTTTCTGTCTTTTCACTCTCCACCATGTATTTAAAAAAAGACTTCAAATGAGAATTATTTACCAGAGTATTATTAAAAAATAATTGTGTGGGAGATGTTAAGGCAGAGCTGGGTTTCTCGGAGGGATGCGAGAGATCAGGGGTCTGGCACGCTTTAAATGAGCGGTGGACACATCAAACAGAAAGACAAATGACATGCTGGAGCGATCGCTACATCAGAGCGGGAGAAATCAGAGAGGGAAGGACAGACGATTGGACTCGCAGAAGACCAGCACTAACACACACACACACACACGTCTGGTTTGCTATCCTTGTGGGGACTCTCCATAGGCGTAATGGTTTTTCTACTGTACAGATCATATATTCTATTGCCCTACACCAACCCTACCCCTAAACCTACCCCTCACAGGAGACTTTCTGCATTTTTAGATTTTCAAAAAACTTCATTCTGTATGATTTATTAGCTTGTTTACCCGTGGGGACCTCAATTTAGGTCCCCACCGTGACACGAGTCCCCATGAGTCTGTGTGTATTCAGGTCTAAGTCCCCACCAGAATAGAAAAACAGGTACACACACACACACACACACACACTCATGTAGGTGCTCAACCAATCAATGTTCACAAAACTGTACCGACTGTTCATTTTCCAACCCATAAACAATTTCAGAGCTCTAAAAGCTTTTTTGGACAAGAACAATGAAGATAAACTTAAACTCAGTGATTTTTAAACAAACAGAGCCTGAGCCGAGCAGTACACGACCATTATCCAATGGAGACAAGCAGGGGAATTATCCAATCAGAAAGCAGCAGGGGAAATCTTGGCCCTTCAGCCATTTTCCACGCGCATCTCCACATTTACTCTGATCACAGAGCACAAAAGATCCTGACAAAACATCGATTTCTGACATGCAAGGCTTTTTATTTGTTACTGCCATCACACCATCACAATTTCTGTCTTCCAGTTTTCTCCCAGCGGGGAGCTTTTTTTTATTATTTTTTTTTATACATACCATCATGCTGTTTTAAAACCCTTTCTCTCTTCCTTGTAACACAGATCTTTTTTTTCCCATTCAATGAAAACATATGGTGACCATTGGCTGTCAAGTTGCAAAAATGTCAAACAAAAGAGCCATAAAAGTAGTTCATATGGTTTGTGTGCATAATCTTCTGTACCATACAACAGATTTATATGAGGAAATCTTTCCTTCCACCAAAGCTTTCAAATCTCATTTGCAATCACATATATTCAAATATGTTGCATTGTACATTTGACATCAAGTCTTGTTTTCTAAAACACTATAAAATTTATCTATTTATTTATATAGGTTTTGTGCTTAAAACAAGAAAAAAATATCTGCCAATTATTTTGGTATCATTATAGTTTTTATTTTTATATTTTCCATTTGCATTTCAATTTTAGATTTAGATTTTCTTATTAAATTAAATTAAAAATGACAAATGTTGCTTTGGCAGCTAGCTGAATTGCTTTTTTATTTTCATATTTATATTTATAAAATGTTTTATTTTTTATATTGCATTTTATTTTCAGTTAACATTTATTTTTAAGTAATGAAAATGTTTGCTTTTATGGTTTTGATTTTAGCTTTAAAATAATCTTTTCTCTTTAAATAAAGATTTCTTGTTTAAGCATAAACTCAGTTTATTTTGATACATTTTTCAAGTATGTATATGTTGATTTAAGAATGTTTAGATATATGTACACTGAAAACAAGACAAAAATACTAAGACATTTTTTTTTTTGCAGTGACCAATACTGAACACCATTGGTTCTTATATGTCAGGTGACCAATCACAATGTGAAAAGACCAAATATGCATTATATTTGAAAGCTACATGCAAAGAGAAGCAAACAATCACTTAAATTTGGGTCTGTTCGTAATAAATTTGAATTTAAATGTGAAATTTTCTATTCAAACACTACTTTCAAGGTGCTTTTTTGGAGGAGTAAATGATGGCTTTTGTTAAACAGACAAAGCAGCATGGAACATTTTACCAAACATCTCCATTTGTGTTCCATCATAAAGTTTGTAACAACAAAGGTAAATATATAATGCTAGATTTTTTTTTTGTTTTCAGTGAACTATCCCTGCATTGCATGTTAAACTAATGAGAGTGAGCGAGCGAGTGAGAGAAATGTCATATGCTCTTTGAAATCCCTTGAACAATAAAAGTCTGTAAAAACAAAAGGAAATGAGGAGATTTTTCCATGGAGCTGCATTGACCTGGATTGTGTGTGTGTGTGTTAAATATGGCAGCGTGTACATCACACCGTATGTGTGAGTTTCCCCACCTTTTGCTTAGGTGTGCCGCTGTGACTTTAATAAGTGTGTGTGTGTGTGTGTGTGTGTGTGTGTGTGACACAAGCAATCTTGGATTTAAAAAGAAAGCTGGCAGCCAAGTGCCTCACCTCACTGTCAACTGCTGCTTGTGGTTACCAAGCAACCTCATTTCTCACCGTCACACAATAAACACACACACACACACACACACAAACACACACGCATGCACAAACAACAAAAAAATCTTTCTGAAATGCAAAACACACTTTTTTTGCAGGAAAATCTTGCAGGAAAATCAGTTAAAACAGTCAGATCACTGAATGGCAGTCCAGGACCTGAAATAAACCAGGTGCATGTGTGAGTGTCTAATAAGAGCGTATCTGTGCTGCGTCACTTTTTCTTCTTTCTCCACCCCTCCTGATCTATTAGTCCGGGATTTGGCTGCCAAACACACACACACACTAATGATAAGGAGTCAGGCTCACAATGCACTGTGTGTGTTTGCACACACAAACACAAACTAGTTTGCAGATGTGTCACAGAGAGCAGCCAAGACATGGGTTTGTGACACCACTGAGAACTGCACACACACACACGCAATGCATGCATGCAAACACACTCACGCACACTTTTTCTTTTGGCCGATTTCGGAAACATGCGTCTTGCCTGGAAAATGCTGCCTCCACATTCCTCCCATGAAGAGCAGCCCAAAAAACGGGGGAGAAAAAAAATGGAGGGAGGTGGCAGCGGAAAAGCGTTCTCCTGTGATTGTGTCCTGGGGGTCTCTCCCTCCTCTCACTGTCTGTCTGTCGCTCGCTCACTCCCCCATATGTGGGTAAGTGGAGATTTCTGCTCGTCTTCGGTCAGTCGCTCAGAATGGGAAGCGTTCAGAGACGGACAGAGGAGCCTGTTGTTTTCATTCCTTGTTCTCGTTCTAGCCTCTCGCTCTGGGTTTGTCCATCTTGATTGCCGTTTTCATCCCCCTCTCTCTCGTCTCATTTTAGAGCAAACCTCTCAAGGTGAAAGAGGAGAGGAATAATTACGCCTGGCCGAGTCGAGGAGAGTCACGGAAAGAGGGAGAGGGTCAAAAATTCCCACACGAGTGCCAGTGCAAACGAGTTGTGCCGTTCCACTCCTCACGCTTCCAATCACTCCCCCTTCTGTTGCTCTTTTTTTCTTCTTTGACCCACTCCTTTTTTTCCCCCTCAACCGCACTCCCTCGCTCTCAAATTTATGATTTGGAGACCACAGTGGTAAGAGACTGCCAGCCTCTCCCTTCCACTCACATCTCTCCGCCTGCCTTTCTTTCTTTTATTTTCTCTTGCTCTTTCTGCCTCTCTTTTATTGGCCCTCCCTCTATGCTCAAAAATTACAGTCACGTCGGTCTGTTAAAATGGTATTTATTTGGCTTATGCAATGTGAACACTGTATGTGTGTGTGCTTTGTGAAAGAAGCAAAATGAAGGTTAAAGAAAAACAGTGAAAAGAACAAACGGAAATATCACAAAATGCATTACGGTCTTTTAGAATCAAACATTTTTATAATCTTGACAAAAACATATCATTGGAAAGGTCTGAGTCTCAGGATTCCATATTTGGTGGTATATGAGATAGAATTAATATTTAAAGAGAAATCTAGACATTTGTGACAGAAAAATGCATAAAAAAATGGATGGCACCTGGTGGCTGTTTGTGGTAGATCACCCCTAAATAAAATCTCACAGGAATCCCAATTTGTTTTCATATCAACTTCAAATTTGGAACATAAATTATTTAGACACAAGGTTTTAATTTTATACCAATTTTAGAATAAAACCTGTTATGTAAAATATTTACTATATATAAAATAAAATATGTATAGTGCATTTTCTTTACAGTAAATGCAAACTTCAATAAATTTTTGATACTTTAATTTTTTGAAATAATTCCACTTTTTCTTCTTTAACAAGAGACCAACTATAGGTCTGTATTCCAAAGTGTTCATAAATTACAACAATTTAAGTTTGGATAGTGCACTTTCATGCCTATTTAAAAAAAATGGGGAGTGACAGTTAAGGGGTTAATTAAATAAATAAATGCACTGTGTTTCAAAGTGAAGCACAGCACTGTGTTCATTTACATTCAAGCAGCTCCTGATCTGGTGTTTTCACGATAAAAACTGCACAAACTCATCTCATGCGTGAGTTTGGGGTTAAATATTAGTTATGTCATTTTACAGTTGTACTGTAAAAATATCATTATTGTTATTTTTTCATAAATACAAGATGTTTTATTTTACAGTAAAATATATTACATTTAGAGTAAAATGTCTTATTTTAAATATTTTTAATAATAAAATAATTTATTATTAATTAACTCTTATTATTACTATTCTTTTGTAGTCAAATTGAGATATAGTCAAAACATTTTGCAGACTTACGAATAAGAATTTATTTATTGATTTAATTATTTATTCTCAAACACAATTTTTATCATGGAAATCACAATTATATTTTTCCCCAAAACATGCTGACCAAGAATACAA